TACATGTACATAACATTAGACCAGAATAGCATTAATACAAAGAAAAACCTTAAGACTTCTGTGTAATTTAAAATCAAGTTTAACTCTAGACATGAAAAATTGTACATGTACATGTACTTAACTATAGACCAGAATAGCATTAATACAAAGAAAAACCTTAAGATTATAATTTTGTCTGTGTAATTTAAAATCAAATTTTAACTTAATCACACACGTTCTTTCACAACCTATACCTGATTTAGAACGTAACGGTAGCACACATTGTTACATTTATTTAGGTCAATAATCTACGTAGCGTAATTTGTATTTTTCCTTCTTGCGAGTTGTATCATTCATTAATTTTAATAAAATGTCAAATCAAACAACGGGACTTCTAAAATCAGCACAAGAATTATTAGAAATTTCTAGAACTCTAATCATGTTGGGTGACAGAGCTGACTACCATCAAGTAGTGTGCAAGTCGCTAACCGACATTGTTAAGCAGTGGCAGAGACAATTATTAGCGAGCGTTCTAAACCAGAAAAATGACGAAGCAATAGAGAGCTATATAAAATTATTGCGAGAGGTTACTGAATATGTAAAAGAAGTTAGAAAGCCTGGGAGTTTCAGCCATACAGCCCTTGCTAATTTGAGCAGGGCAGTCAAATCTAATAATGCATGTATCACATCCATCGTTATTTATTATTAAAGTGCTGAAGAATCGAAAATTAATCATATTTTTATTGTAATTTCTTTATTACTAGTTCTTACAATACCACAAAGATTTAGTCAAGCAAATAGAAAAAGCAATAATTCATTTCATTGGTTCAGATAAAGTAATGAACGAAACCTTGAGTAATGTCAATTCACATTACAAAGACATCGATACCTTAATTTTAATGATGTTCCTTACAAAAGGCGTTAAAATCCATGACAGTAATATTGAGGCCATCAATATAAATCCTTCAAATTTCGAGGATTTGGAAACTGTTCCAATGATCGGTATATCAAAAAGATTTGACTGGGTCAAATATGCAATAGAAATATCAAAGTCTAGTGATAATTCGAACTTATCAGTAGAGATAAAGCGGAAGGTTTTTGAAGAGCTAAAAAAGGAAAAAGAATTGTTTACCAGTTTAGAATATTATTTTGACGGTAAAAAGACTTTATTCACAAAAAGTCCAATAAATATGGAAACCAACATTTTGATCATATCAGTAACATTAAGTCAGCTTAAAGAGTACGAATTTCATATTCGTATAATTAAACTTTATGATCCAAAGCATAAAGAGATTCAAAAAAGAATTTATGATGGAGAAATAGTTACCATTAGAAGACTAAACATTACCGATCAGAATAACTTTGAAAAATATTCAAATATTATCAAATTGCTATCAAGGAATAACA